TCCTGGAGGGAAGGGGGAGGGCGACGGGCGGGGAGGGGCAGAAGGCAGCAGCAGGGATAGCACCAGTAGCCGGTCCGCGTGAGCGTGACCACACGTGGACCGCACGTGAGCGCACGTGGACCGCACGTGGACCGCACGTGAGTGCTTCTCCAGTATCTGGTCACATGTGGACACGTGAGCGCACGAAGGGGGAGGGCGAAGGGCAGAGTGGGAAGTGTGGAAGGGATTTTGCGGGGTGTTTTTGAGAATTCTCAAAAACACCCTGCAAAATAAAAGAGTGGGAAGTGTGGAAGGGATAACAACAGGTCGAGGGTGCCTTGGAAAACCGCCAAAGGGTGCCTTTGGTTAGGTATATCAATGAGTGAATCTGGAATTGATTTTGAAAGGGTGCCTTGGAAACTAGCCAAAAGCATCGCTGTGCAGCAGTACCTGGGAGGCGGAGACCCCAATGACTGCCAAGTGCGTGTCTGGTGAGTGCATGACATCCAAGAGCAGGTAGAGTATGCCCTGCTTGCCCCTCTGCGGCAGGTGGGGAGAGGGAGGAGGGGAGAGGACATTGGGAGAAATGGGAGAGGAAGGGGAGAAAGGGATGCGGGAGTAATAGGGTGAGTGCAGGAGGTTTAAGAGCAGATAAAGTATGCCCTGCTTGCCCCTCTGCGGCAGGTGGGGGAGGGAGGAGCGGAGGGGGGTATTGGGAGAAATGGGGAGGAAGGGAAACGGGAGTGATAGGGAGACTGCATGACATCCAAGAGCAGGTACAGTATGCCCTGCTTGCCCCTCTGCGGCAGGTGAGACAGGAAAGGGAGAGGAAGGTTGCGGGAGTTTGAGAGAAAGGGCAAAAGATTGAGAGAAAAAATGAAAATAAAAAGATAGATAAGGATAGAACTGGAGAATTGGAGGTCAGAGACACGGAGAAAAAGGTTCACAATGAAATAAAAAAGGTTCACAATGAATTCAAAAAGGATCACAATGAATCAGAAGGTTCGCAATGAATTCAAAAAGGTTCACAATGAATTCAAAAAGGTTCACAATGAATTGAAAAAGGTTCACAATGAATTGAAAAAGGTTCACAATGAATTAAAGAAGGTTCACAATGAATTAAAAAAAGGTTCACAATGAATTCAAAAAGGTTCACAAGGAATTCAAAAAGGTTCACAAGGAATTAAAAAAGGTTCACAATGAATTCAATAAGGTTCACAATGAATTCAAAAAGGTTCACAAGGAATTCAAAAAGGTTCACAATGAATTCAAAAAGGTTCACAATGAATTCAAAAAAGGTTCACAATGATTAAAAAAAGGTTCACAATGAATTCAAAAAGGTCCACAATGAATTCAAAAAGGTCCACAATGTATTCAAAAAGGTTCACAATGAATTAAAAAAGGTTCACAATGAATTTAAAAAAGGTTCACAATGAATTCAAAAAGGTTCACAAGGAATTCAAAAAGGTTCACAGTGAATTAAAAAGGGTTCATCGGAAGTCTCACTGAAGCGAACTGGTCGAATTCGTCTAGGACCACAATGAGTGATCTGCTGGCCTGAGCACACAGCCTGGAGAGGACGTTGCGTTGAAGGATGTAAGGAAAGGAGAGAATGGGAGGGTGAGGAAGATGAGGGCTCTGCTGGCTTGAGCACACAGCCTGGAGAGGACGTGGGGGTGAAGAATGTAAGGAAAGGAAGGAGAGCATGTGAGGGTGAGGAAGATGAGGGCTCTGCTGGCTTGAGCATGTGAGGGTGAGGAAGATGAGGGTGAGGAGACGAGGGCTCTGCTGGCTTGACCACACAGCCTGGAATGTTAAAGTGCACGAGATTACAGGAGAGTGGGGGGGGGGAGATATGAAGGTGAAGTGAAGCGATGAGGGGTCAGCCATATAGCGCTGTATGGCAGAAGGGTAGGGATCGCAACGGAGGAGATAGGGGGGTGGAAGCGCACCTAGCACCAGAAAACATGAGAACGCACCTGAACACCACACAGGAACAACACATAGAAGCACCTCAGAACATAAAAAACACCTGAGCATGAAGAAACACCTGAGCATGAAGAAACACCTGAGCATGAAGAAACACCTGAGCATGAAGAAACACCTGAGCATGAAGAAACACCTGAGCATGAAGTAACACCTGAGCATGAAGTAACACCTGAGCATGAAGTAACACCTGAGCATGAAGAAACACCTGAGCATGAAGTAACACCTGAGCATGAAGTAACACCTGAATACAGCAACCGGCACCTGAGCACGTGGTGAAGCACCCTGACGTTGTCTGAAAAGGAATGCTGCCATGTGATTGGCGGAGACGAGGTAGCGAACAAAGAGGAGAGAATGGGAGAAAGGAGTAAGAGGAGATGGGGTGAAAGACGACGAGATAAGGAGGCAGGAAGGAGGGTTGTGAGTGGGGGGGTTTGGGAGTGGGAAGGAGAGAATACGGAGAAGTACCAGAAAGAACGGTTAATCTTTGTGCCAAAAGTCAATTGCCAGAGAAAGAACGGTTTTCTAGGCGCATGAAAATTGGAACATTACCAGGGAGAGCGCATCGAGCTGTGGCAGAGAAAGCGCCAGCTGGCGCGCCATTTCCTGGAAAGTGCAGGTGAGGGGGCCCAGGGGAGAATGCAGTGGGCAGCAGTCGAGGGAGTGGATCAGGAGGAAAGAGGGCACACCACCAGGGAGAGCGCATCGAGTTGAGGCAGCGAAAGCGCCATTGCCTGGAAGGAGCAGGCGAGGGGGCCCAGGGGAGAATGCAGTGGGCGATTATGAAGGGAAGGCATTCCCCTCCCCCCCTCTGCCCTGCTCTGCCCTGCTCTGCTCTGCTCTGCTCTGCTCCTCAAAAGAGCTGACTTTTGAGCCGACTAAAAAATGGACTCATTACACAAGGGCAGGTGAGCGGGCCCAGGGAAGAATGCAGTGGGCGATTATGAAAGGAGGGCATTCCCCTCCCCTGCTCTGCCCTGCTCCTCAAAAGAGCTGACTTTTGAGTCGACTCAAAAGCAGCGAGGGGTGACATGACATGACATGTCGATCGACGCACCTTGAGAGCGGCACGGTCGTCAGCATGCATGCGACCATCCAGATGCACCTGATGGCATGGGATGATGGCATGGGATGATGGCATGGGACGATGGCATGGGACGATGGCATGGGATGGATAGAACAAGATGAAAACTAGTTTTGAGGCGCCTCAAAACTAGTAAGTATGTTGCTTTGTGATTTCCATCCCATGCAACCTGTTCCACGGAACATGTTCCACATCGCATGCAACCATCCCAAAAACCCTGATGGATCGTGGCATCGGATGGGGTACCAAGATGGAGGCTGCACGATGGGTGGAGAAGAATGGCGGACATGTGTCATGGCGTGGCATCGTTAGCTGGAGACTACAAGTGTTATAGGTCAGACACTCGAGGCACATGTAACGAAACCATAAGGCAGCAAATGCCAGCACATGCATGCACATGCCAGCACATGCCAGAACATGCCAGCACATGCCAGCACATGCATGCACATGCATGCACATGCATGCACATGCCAGCACATGCCAACACATGCCAGCACATGCCAGCACATGCCAGCACATGCCAGCACATGCCAGCACATGCCAGCGCATGCCAGCGCATGCCAGCGCATGGCAGCAGATCACTCACAGCAAGAAACGGGGGGGTGTCATGGGAAGAGCGGAGGTCGGCCAGCACGCGGTGCAGCACCTGATGGGGAGCCCAGCCCAAGACGCGTGAGGAGAGGGAGTGGTGAGGGGTGGGGAGGGATGGGGCGGGGTGGGGCGGGTGGGGTGTCATGACAGCAGCAGCAAACCAGCACAAGTGCTCACGCTTTCAACATCATTCAAGCACCATGCCATGCCATCACCCACATACCAGCGTCTTCCCGCACCCTCTAGGTCCCAGCAGCAGCAGCCCGTCGCACAGCACGTCCCTGACCATCCTCTCCACTATGGTCTAAACCGCACACTGCCTCGCATCTTAGGTCAAGCCACCCACATACCAGAGTCTTCCCGCAGCCTCTGGGCCCGAGCAGCAGCAGCGACAGGCACAGCCCGTCGCACACCACGTCTCGCAGCATCCCATACAGCCTGGAGCGGTTGCCCTCGTTCTCCGCTACAAGCTCCACCGTTTGTATCACATGGCTCACACGGCCCTCGCCCGTTTGTATCACACGGCTCACGCGCCTATTAGCGTCGCCCTCTATTTCCGTCAACCGCCCCGTGTCGCCCCCTTCCATGGCGCGAGTACTGGTGTCGCGCTCCCCGCTTTCCACGGCGCTCGGCTGCCACGTCAGCCGCTCCTTCAGCACGCGCACCGCCACGGCCGCGTCGCCCTCCTCCATGGCCGCCGCTGCCGCCGCCGCGTGTGACGGCGCGTTTGACGGCGCGTGTGACGGCGTTGCTACTGCCGGCCGCGCTCAACTCTGGAGATATAGAGTAAAAAATGGTTCTAGATGTACCGAAACGGCTTCTGGGTCGTCCGGAGACGGTCCGATGCGGTCCGATGCGGTCCGATGGGTCAAGGGAGGCCTATGGAGGTTCAAGGGACCATCAGACCGAGGCGGTCTGACGGTCTAGACGTGGAATCGAACTAAGGAATCGTCGTCTAGAAGTGGTGGTATGAAGACGTTGAGAGGCTAATGAATGCGGGAGCTCATGTGAAGTCCGGAGGAGAGGAGACGGGTCTAAAGGGACTCGTACCGACCACATTCACAAAGACTAGTCTTCTAATGGTAACTGATGACGCTGGTACCTATTCAGGTGACTGATGACGCTGGTACCTATTCAGGTGGCTGATTCACAAAACCGCTGACCAGCTTCGCCACCTTTCAGTACGTCGCAAGGCAATGGTACCGATCGGTAAGCAACTGTTTGATTACCGGATTCGCTGGTGCGCCCGTGTCGCATACTGTAGTAAGGCCGCCTGGTGGGATTCGCCGGTTGCAGCAGGAGCGAGTCTGAGATTTTAGGGTTTGCGAAACCTGAAGATGAAACCGCTGATTGATGAGACGCAAGAGAGAGTCTCCGAAGCACACTAGTGAGTTTTGCGACGTCTCGAAACGAATTTCCGAGCGTAGCCTATCCGCCGCTAGTCAGGCAGGCAGGCACCGCTCCTCTTGGGAGGGCTTGCGATCGCGATAGCGCTGGCGGTATCCTTCGCGTGCTCCGCGTGCGACGATCGCTGTGCGACTGTACTGCGTGTGCGACGTCGCCCGGCGACGGCATGGACGCGGCGAATCTGAAGCTCGCGGAGGGGCTTGTGTCGCCGTCGTACGTGCGACAGGGCGGTCAGTCTCTCGCGCAGCGACACAACATGGTGCGACTGCCACGTGGCACATAGTCAATGCTCGTCAGTGGATCCACGTGGACGTATCGGACTGCAGGAACAAGGCTATTAGTCTGCCAGATAAAATTGTTCCGGCAGGCGTTTTCCACACAGTCACTTAGGCGAGTGTCTCTTAGGCGAGTGCCTCTTAGGCGAGTGCCTCTTAGGCGAGTGCCTCTTAGGCGAGTGCCTCTTAGGCGAGTGCCTCTTAGGCGAGTGTCTCTTAGGCGAGTGCCTCTTAGGCGAGTGCCTCTTAGGCGAGTGTCTCTTAGGCGAGTGCCTCTTAGGCGAGGAGTCACTTGCCTGATCTCTATTGGATCCGTGCGTGAGGAGTGCTAAAAAAGAGGATAAGTATTTTTGAGGCGCCTCAAAAATGATCTCTATTGGATCCGTCGTGCTGCCCGCTGAGTGTGCGTGCATGCATTGGACTTATGTGGAGCCCCTAATACCTCCGCACCGCCTCTTGATGCTGCTGTCGCATGCGCTGCCAGGTGAAGAGCCTCTTATCTCAGAGGAAGCTCCCAAGGGACGGTTGGGACGACGACACCATCGAACTGCTGCTCAAGGTGAGCTTCCTTTGAGGTGGGCATGGCATGGCATGGGGGAGAAAGAGGCTCATCGATGCCATCTTCTCCTCTCCCTCTGTCCATGTGTCACTCCTCCTCCCACTCCCACTCAATATGTCCTTGTATTAAGTGGGTGGCATGGTACAGGCAAGGCAGGTCCGTCTTCCCCTCTCCCCCTATCCATCGTTCACCGCTCCGTCTCCCTCCCTCGCAGGACCTAGCTTTGATGGACAGCAGCGGGTTCAAGGGCGGGGTGGGCATGGGGGAGAGGGAGGCTCGGTGTGCGAGTGGGCTGGTGAGGAGGCGGCACTACGGCATGACCCATGGCATGGGGCGGTCAGGGAACATCACCGACGAGCAGCCAAAGGTGCGTGCATGGTGCACAATGATCGCACGTGTTCCCCATGCCCTGCCGTGCCGGTCACATCAGTCAGCATTACCCCTCCCCGGCTGTTCCCGATCAGCACTGCTTTGCCCCCCCCACATGTCCTACCTGCCTTCCTCCGGCCCCCAGGCTGCAGGGTCAACCCTGGCATGTCGCCTCGCCAATCTGCTGGTCCAGGACGCCCTCTCACTCGCAGGACTTAAGCACCAATTCACGCCCGTGCTATGCGTGCTGTGCCCTATGCCCATCTCAACATCCCTGCCCACCGCCACCCCCCAGGCTGCAGGGTCAACCCTGGCATGTCGCCTCGCCAATCTGCTGGTGAAGGACGCCCTCTCACTTGCAGGGCTCACAGGTAACTGTGCTGCTGCTGCTGCTGCTGCTGCTGCTGCTGCTGCTGCTGCTGCTGCTGCTGGTACTGTTGGTGGCGGTAACGTGCAAATTTAGGATGCAAGGAAAACTGTCAGCACAGCCCTTCCATCACCGATCCGGTGGCCAAGGACGCTCCCTCACTCTCAGGTAAGCGCTCCCTCCTCGCTCAAAGGTAACCGTGCTGGTGGTGATGGTAACTTTCTGCAAGCCGAGCGTGCAAGGATAACTACTAGCACAACCCTCCATCGTCAATCTGGTGGTCAAGGATGCCGCCTCGCTCACATGTCTGAAAGGTACTTGTTTTTCATGGTGATGGTAACATGCTGGTGGAAGTGATTAGTGATCAATGGTCATCTGCACTCCACCATTTGTTTCTTGCTACATCCTCGTCATGCGGGTCGTATAGTATCATGCCGATGGAATGCCACCTCCCATGCAACAATACCGCATGTTCTTCTGAATGCCATGTATGATGCATTCTGTTGCATCTCAACGCTACTGCGCATTTAATGCATGAATGCACGTTCACCCATCAGACATATCTGTGTTGACGGTGCTGCCAGTTGCAACCGGCATGGCTCGCGCTCTCACTCGCCTGCCCTCGTGCCATGTTCCCATTTGACACGGCATGGCATGCATTGCAGGTGACTTTTGAGTCGACTCAAAATTCACTCGCCCGCCCTCGTGCTTTTCACCTCACCTTATCTTTCTCGTGCCATGTTCCCATTTGACACGACATGCATTGCGCATGCATGCATGCACGTCCACGGTTCACCCATCAGACATATCAGCAGTGACGGTGCTGCCCGTGGCTACAGGCATGGCCCTCACGCTTTCTCTCCTTGCTCTCAAGACCAGCCGACCCTCTGCGAAGTGAGGGGGTGAGGGAACGTGGGAGTGAGGGAGTGCGGGAGGGAGGGAAGAGAGGGGGAGAGCGAGCGAGGCTGTGGATGATTCATTCTGCATGCTTGGGTGCTTCTTTGCATCCCATGGCTGGTGCGTTCTCCGTGCACGCTGTGACTTTTGAGGCGCCTCAAAACAAAACTGTTCTCCATGCACGCTTCTTAGATGCGCCACATAGTTTTGAGGCACCTCAAAATGCGCCACATGTGACGTGGACATGGTATGTGACCCATGGCAGGTATATGCCATGGGAAGGCTTCCTAATGCTTTGGATGTGTCATACACGTGGTATGTGTGCGACCCATGGCAGGTACGTGCTGTGGTCTCGCATCGACCAGAAGACATGCCTCAAATGCATCCTCACAGCTGGACTCATACCCGTGGTAGGGTACTTTCGAAAACTCCTGGAAATCGAGGTTACTCTGCTGCTCATGCCTTCGTTGCCTCGTCCTCGTGTTACCTCCTGCTTCTGTCACAATCGTTGTCTGTTCAGTTTAGTCACACAAATTCCACCACCCGCCACACGTGGCCCTCCCCTCTCCCCCTCCCCACTCTCTCCCCCCCCCACCTTTCGCCCCTTCCTCCCCCCTCCCTCCCAGGTAGTTCCTCTCGAGTTGAACGGTGACCAGCTCTGTACCAACCTCCCGACCTTGGAGCGAGAAATTGAGTCTCGAGGGGCGGACAGCATTCTCTGCGTCCTCTCCACCACCTCCTGCTTCGCTCCCAGGTGGGTTCCTCCCATGTGGGCCCCTCCCAGGTGGGTCTGACTCTTCGGTCAACTCAAAAGGCGTTCTCTGCGTCCTTTCCACCACCTCCTACTGCGCTCCCAGGTGGGTCCCACCCACTCCGCCTGTCCATCAGCCAATTTCTTCTGGCCCCGGATCAATCCCGCACTCTACCTAAATCAAGTCTACGGCCCCGGATAACAGAGCAGAGAGGCGTCTCTGCTGCGCTCCTGTATCCCCTCGGATGACGATTGCTTCTAAGGGCCCTTACTGCCCTGCACCAACCTGTCTCCCTCCCTCCCTCCCTCCCTCCCTCCCTCCCTCCCAGAGCCCCTGATAATGTCGAGGCCATAGCCCGTCTCTGCGCCCGCCTCGAAATCCCCCATATAATAAACAACGCGTACGGGGTGCAGAGCGCTGACATCTGCGCTGAGGTCAGCCGGGCGTGGAGGAGGGGGCGAGTGGATGCGGTGGTCCAGAGCACAGATAAGAACTTTCTGGTACCGGTTGGGGGGGCTGTAATCGCTGCTGGGCCTAACAAGTCAACGCTGGTCAATGCAGTCAACGCCTCGTACCCAGGTGGGTGTGTATGTGTGCTTGTGGAACTCAGGGGACGGATAATCAAGCAGGTGGTTCAGGGCACGGATAAGAACTTTCTGGTGCCCGTGGGGGGAGCAGTGGTAGTTTCAGGGCCTAAAGGAGGATTCAACGCTGGTCAACGCAGTCAACGCCTCGTACCCAGGTGGGCCCCTTGAGGGAAACATGCCACAGGTCGTGACACCAGAAGGTCCCCTCACGACCTGAGGAGCAGTGGTAGTTTCATATGCCATTCCCCTCCCGACCTGAGGAGCAGTGGTAGTTTCATATGCCATTCCCCTCACGACCTGAGGAGCAGTGGTAGTTTCATATGCCATTCCCCTCCCGACCTGAGGAGCAGTGGTAGTTTCATATGCCATTCCCCTCCCGACCTGAGGAGCAGTGGTAGTTTCATATGCCATTCCCCTCACGACCTGAGGAGCAGTGGTAGTTTCATATGCCATTCCCCTCACGACCTGAGGAGCAGTGGTAGTTTCATATGCCATTCCCCTCACGACCTGAGGAGCAGTGGTAGTTTCATATGCCATTCCCCTCACGACCTGAGGAGCAGTGGTAGTTTCATATGCCATTCCCCTCACGACCTGAGGAGCAGTGGTAGTTTCATATGCCATTCCCCTCACGACCTGAGGAGCAGTGGTAGTTTCATATGCCATTCCCCTCCCGACCTGAGGAGCAGTGGTAGTTTCATATGCCATTCCCTCACGACCTGAGGAGCAGTGGTAGTTTCATATGCCATTCCCCTCACGACCTGAGGAGCAGTGGTAGTTTCATATGCCATTCCCCTCACGACCTGAGGAGCAGTGGTAGTTTCATATGCCATTCCCCTCACGACCTGAGGAGCAGTGGTAGTTTCATATGCCATTCCCCTCCCGACCTGAGGAGCAGTGGTAGTTTCATATGCCATTCCCCTCACGACCTGAGGAGCAGTGGTAGTTTCATATGCCATTCCCCTCACGACCTGAGGAGCAGTGGTAGTTTCATATGCCATTCCCCTCACGACCTGAGGAGCAGTGGTAGTTTCATATGCCATTCCCCTCACGACCTGAGGAGCAGTGGTAGTTTCATATGCCATTCCCTCACGACCTGAGGAGCAGTGGTAGTTTCATATGCCATTCCCCTCACGACCTGAGGAGCAGTGGTAGTTTCATATGCCATTCCCCTCCCGACCTGAGGAGCAGTGGTAGTTTCATATGCCATTCCCCTCACGACCTGAGGAGCAGTGGTAGTTTCATATGCCATTCCCCTCCCGACCTGAGGAGCAGTGGTAGTTTCATATGCCATTCCCCTCACGACCTGAGGAGCAGTGGTAGTTTCATATGCCATTCCCCTCACGACCTGAGGAGCAGTGGTAGTTTCATATGCCATTCCCCTCACGACCTGAGGAGCAGTGGTAGTTTCATATGCCATTCCCCTCACGACCTGAGGAGCAGTGGTAGTTTCATATGCCATTCCCCTCACGACCTGAGGAGCAGTGGTAGTTTCATATGCCATTCCCCTCACGACCTGAGGAGCAGTGGTAGTTTCATATGCCATTCCCCTCACGACCTGAGGAGCAGTGGTAGTTTCATATGCCATTCCCCTCACGACCTGAGGAGCAGTGGTAGTTTCATATGCCATTCCCCTCACGACCTGAGGAGCAGTGGTAGTTTCATATGCCATTCCCCTCACGACCTGAGGAGCAGTGGTAGTTTCATATGCCATTCCCCTCCCGACCTGAGGAGCAGTGGTAGTTTCATATGCCATTCCCCTCACGACCTGAGGAGCAGTGGTAGTTTCATATGCCATTCCCCTCCCGACCTGAGGAGCAGTGGTAGTTTCATATGCCATTCCCCTCACGACCTGAGGAGCAGTGGTAGTTTCATATGCCATTCCCCTCACGACCTGAGGAGCAGTGGTAGTTTCATATGCCATTCCCCTCACGACCTGAGGAGCAGTGGTAGTTTCATATGCCATTCCCTCCCGACCTGAGGAGCAGTGGTAGTTTCATATGCCATTCCCCTCACGACCTGAGGAGCAGTGGTAGTTTCATATGCCATTCCCCTCACGACCTGAGGAGCAGTGGTAGTTTCATATGCCATTCCCCTCCCGACCTGAGGAGCAGTGGTAGTTTCATATGCCATTCCCCTCCCGACCTGAGGAGCAGTGGTAGTTTCATATGCCATTCCCCTCACGCTGCTCTCCCTGGGCGCCAACGGGTGGCGACCGATTAACCTTCTTTTCCCTGATCTACCACACCCTTATACCCTGTGCACCCACCCACCTCGCCGCACCGCACACCACCCCACGGCAGGGCGTGCGTCCATCTCGCCCATCCTGGATGTCCTCATAACGCTGCTCTCGCTGGGCGCCAACGGGTGGCAGGCGCTGCTGCAGGAGAGAGAGGACCTCTTTCCTTACCTGAGAGACAGAATGCGAGTGGTGGCTGAGAAACACGGTGAGCGCCCCTCTTACCTAAACCCGAAACCCTAAACCTTGAACCCTAAACCGTGAACCATTAACCCTAAACCCCAAACCCTGGACACAATGCAACTCCGTGCTGGGAGGCTTGTGCAGCAAATCAATCCCCCTTTGGAACCGCCTGGCATTCCCCCCACATGCATTGCAATTCCTCCTCTTTTCTACTATGTTCTTCCGTCTATCACCTCCCTCTATCCCCTCCATCTCTCACCTCCCTCTATCCCCTCCATACGTCACCCCCCTGGCGAGATCCCTCTCCTCGGTCATCCCTGCAGGTGTGCATTAACCACACCCATATCTACCCTCCCCCACGTTTCACCTCCCCCTCGTGTCACCTGCTCAGGCGAGCATGTGCTGCAGTCGCCACGCAACCCGATCTCCCTGGCGATGTCACTCTCCTCGCTCACCCCTGCACATCTGCCTGCTGGGGTCGCATGTGGTCCCGCCGGCTCCACATGCAATTCTGCTGACGCCACACACATGCATGCTGATGTCACTCGCGGTTCTTCGAACTCCATGCTCCAACATGCTGCAGAGCCATCTGCCGTGGCAGCAGCAAAAAGAGAAGCAGTAGCACAGCCAACAGCAGCATCATCGTCATCATCATCAGCAGCAGCAGCAGCGGCAGCAGGAGGAGAAGAGTCAGCAGCAGTACCATCAGCAGCGGGGGGAGAGGGGCTGAGAGGGGCAGATGAGATGAGAGGTGCTGCCGCATCAGAGATGCTGCTGACAACTTCAGCTGGAGCCGCTGAGCCACTCACAACTTCTGCCACAACTTCTGCCACAACTTCTGCCACCCCTCCTGCCGCCACTCGTGCCGCCCCTCATGCCGCCCCTCCTGTCGTGCTTCTCCCCTTATCTCCCCCGCCCCATCCACCTGCAGGCCCCATCGCTCCCCCTATCCTCGCCCCCACTGCTCCCCCTATCCTCGCCCCCACTGCTCCCCCTATCCTCGCCCCCACTGCTCCCCCTATCCTCGCCCCCACTGCTCCCCCTATCCTCGCCCCCACTGCTCCCCCTATCCTCGCCCCCACTGCTCCCCCTATCCTCGCCCCCACTGCTCCCCCTATCCTCGCCCCCACTGCTCCCCCTATCCTCGCCCCCACTGCTCCCCCTATCCTCGCCCCCACTGCTCCCCCTATCCTCGCCCCCACTGCTCCCCCTATCCTCGCCCCCACTGCTCCCCCTATCCTCGCCCCCACTGCTCCCCCTATCCTCGCCCCCACTGCTCCCCCTATCCTCGCCCCCACTGCTCCCCCTATCCTCGCCCCCACTGCTGCCTCCATCCCTCCCCCTGCGCCCCCATCTCAACCGCCCCCCATCACCTTCCTGGGCTCAATGCTCTTCTCACGGTATGCTGCTCCATGCCCCCCCCCCCCCATCTCTTTCCCATGCCACAATGTGCTATCCTCTCACTCCCAACCCCATTATCGTTTCCCAGGCCCCCATCTCTTGATCCCCCCCCCTGCGCGCGATTCACCTTCCGACGGATCCTATCCTCTGACCCGGCCCATATTCCATCCCACCGGATTATGACTTGGTTTTCCGTGTCCGTTTTGACGTCTGGGTCTTGTTCCCACAAGCTATTTCTTTCCTCCCCATCCACCAATGCCATACTGTTTTCTCACCAGTACCATCTCTGTCCCCCTCTCTTTCATGGCAGCTTTGTCTCTGGTTGTCGAGTCGTGCCTCAGGGTGTGAAGCAAACTATTGGAGGAGTGTCACTGCAAGGATTTGGAGCTTCTTATGACAGGTACACCTCGTGAAGCTGTTACTCAGTTCATAGCTCTTCACCATAAGCCATACAGATCTCCCTGCTGAATGCGTACGCACGCAAACACACATGCACGCACGCACGCACGCACGTGCGCCCGCGCGCACGCCGGCACGCGCCCACGCGCCCACGCACGCACGCGCCCACGCATGCACGCACGCATGCATGCACCCATGCGGGCATGCACGCACATTCACACACATGTATCTGTATGTATGTATATATATACATATTCCTGCCGGCTTCATTTTGTCCGTGTGCAGTTATCATGTACCCTATCTCACTGCAGCCGCTGCTATAGGAGGTTCGAAGGAGGAAGTGGATGATTTTATTTTACGACTTGATAAGTGCCTTGTTGATTATAGAAAGAAGCTGCAGACTTCCACAGTCAGTAATCTCAGTGATTCTGAAGCAACCTCGATGCCATGATATCATACGGTAAGCCCTTGTCAAGAACCAAGACAAGTGGGCGCGTTGCTGTGAAATCCCTGAGAAAGAAGAGGCCATTTGTGTAAAATTCATCCATGATTCAGAACTGCACTAACTAATGTAGGTCTTGGATATCCTAGACTTCCTCTTTGGGAGGGCATTCTAAGAAGTTATGTGTGTTCCATATGACAGAAGAGTGTAGTAGGAGTGTTGATGTAAGGAAATTCACATTCCTCACTGGGTCTCGCGACGACGAGTACACGCGAAAAGTAAGTGTTACCAGCCTCGGCCCTGAAATCTCGCGTCAAACCAGCCCCGCCGAGCTATTCGGCCCCGAACCTGTTACCGAGGCGCCTCGAGCCCAATTTGACCCCGTCGCCCTCCGGACTCTCGAGTCCATGTCTGGTCCAGCCTCGAGGTTGAAGCCTGGTCAACATACTCAATATAGTGTGCAGGCCACTTTGTTTCTATTGTAGTCATTAACCCATAATAGTTTTCTGCGCTATCCCCTGAGTTAGAATTCATAAAAGATGACAAAAAAATTTGTTTGGAGGTTTCGTTGCTAACTACAAACGAAGCTCGTCAGAGTCACACAATATTTTAGGGTGCCGGGGATTCAAGCGGTCAGGTATTTCGCTGTCCCTCGCCACGGGCAAATGAGGCTTTCGCACGAGCACACGGCGAAATGGGTGGGTATTTGTGGGGGGGGCTTGTGTGGCGATATTTGTTGCGATTGTGCGACTCTTGTGAAGCGATCAGGCGACGGAGGTGCACAGTTCCGTGGCGACGAAATGTCGTCGTCAACGACTTGTCCCTTGCTATATGCTGGTCGTAGACGCAATCATGAGTGACTCAAACGGATATCACATTGCCCCTATATCGGAGGTTTTGGGAACGGATTCTGATTGGGCGCCAGGTTGAGCTGCGATAAGGTTGGGCATCGTCTGTACGACGTCTGCGAGCAAGGTACAATACGAGACCATCATAAGCCAGGGTCGCGACGCGACGTCAAGGTCATGATGCTCACAGGCTGCAAGGAGATTCCATTAGGTGAGAAACGTTCCAAGGGGTTTCAGTACGGTGAGGCGTCATCATTGCGCCATCATTATGCCGCAGCCCATGCTGCGACCCTGACCATTGCCCACAAGCAACGGTTGAAGGAACTGTACAAGACGTTGACTTTCCGTGGCAGGAGAAATGAACGAGCGAGGCGCACTGTACTGAACTGTGGTCGGTGGTGGACCTAGTCAGCGGCGGTGATCGTTCTTGGAGAGACGATTTGACTTTCATCATCCAGTCACCACCGTCGATTGTATCGCTGACCTCCTTCAACCCGTCAAATATCACAATACTTGGCCACGCAAATATGAATGCGACGCGAAGGGACTTCCAGCATCCAACCCCCACCGTTGATTTCTCGTTGACTTCCCTCCACCTCACGCCAAATTCGCGAACTTGGACCCACAAATTTCCAACAAATTGTAAGGCTTCCTCGCCCTCCCCTTTCTCCAAAACTCCCCCTCCCCCATTCCCCTTATTCAAAATCGTTGAGTACCGAGTTTCGAACCTGTTTTCTCTTCACGAGCTTTCTCTTTCCTCCGTCTGACCGGTATGTGTCGCCATCTCATCTTATCGTGCCTCGTGGTCGTTCTGTCGTTTACCTCCACCTGCTCGGAGCAGCGTGGCTCAGTGCCGTCGACCTCGATCATCAACCTCACGTTGATGTTAAACAGAAGATCCAGATGAACCGCAGGTGGTCAGCTAGCATGAGGCGCGGCGGTATTAGCAGCATCTGCTCATCGCCCCTAGCTGCATGACACCCCCGGCGCCTGGTGCAGTCGCTCATCCAAGCTCCCTCGCTGCGTGTTGTCATGACAGTGTCACTGACACCGGGCATTTTCATGCTTGGAGAAGGCTGTACACTGCATGCATTCATTCTCGCTTCCACGGGCAGTGCAGGAAGGAAATGATTCACAGAGGTTTCTAGAAAAGCTCAGAACTCTGACAGATTAGCAATCCTTTGCTAATCCTTTGCTAATCCTTGCTCATCATTTGCTAGTCCTTTCTAGTAGTTTCTGTGACGTGTGACGGTGACCGGCGAATATGTCGAAGCCCAACAATGGCTGCGGGCAGCAACGCTCATGGATTCCGCCTCCGGCGTCCTCCCCCGTGCGCAGCCCGCACGCGGAGGTAGTTCGGCGGAAGGCCACCTCCTCCGCCGACATGGATGCGGAGTGGGACGCCGATTTTGTGCGCACTGGCGGATCATGCGCGGAAGAGGAAGGCACGCGCGTGGAAGGGGAGGTTACGCGCAGAGGAGAGCCAAATGCGGGGACTCCGCGGGGCAGGGAAACCGCTTCCCTGACGGTAGTGCCGGCGGGCGCCAACGCCGCGTCGAGCGCTGGCGGAAAGTTTCTCCGCTTCCTGCGTCGGGGAGGAACCGGCAGCGCATGCGATAAACACGGCAGCTCCGCCACAAGCGCCACCATTCTGCCAGCACGCGCCCGTGGACCAGGCGGATCCGCGACGAGCAGCCCGCCTGCGCGCACTTCCGCTGACCTCTTCCGCTTCCGCCGCTCGCGGGTTGAGGGGATGACGTCCCAGGGGCGCTCCCACGAGGTTGGCGAAAAAAGTGGGGATGAGTCGAGTAACGTTACCACTGCCAGGTCCCAGCCTCTCAGGTCCGAGCCTGTCAGATCCGAGCCTGCCAGGTCCGAGTTAAGAGCTGGATCTACTGCGCCTGGAGAAGCGCGAGGAGGAGAACGGGGAAGGGGAGGAGGAGGTGGTGGAGAGAGAGGGGGGGGTGGAGGAGGAGGAGGCCGAGGAGGCGGAAGAGGAGGAGGAGGAGGAGGAGGAGGAGGAGGAGGAGGAGGAGGAGGAGGAGGAGGAGGAGGAGGAGGAGGAGGAGGAGGAGGAGGAGGAGGAGGAGGAAGAGGAGGAACGAAAGTGGTCGACGCGGTAGACACAAGATCAATGGTTACTATGGACTCCGCACCTACTACATCTACTGCAACAACTACAATTACTTCCACTGCCACTGCGGTGACTGCTGCTTTTGAGACAACTCAAAAGCCTACTAGTAGTGCTGCCACAACTAGACCTGCAAATGCTCCCACTGCCGCCGCACTGGCTGCTGCTAGCAGCAGCAGTCACGTGTCAGATTCCGGAATCTTCACAGCAGCTCGAGTGCCCCGTTCTCCAAAAGCACCGCCCCCTAAGAAAGGATCCCAGTCCTCTTCCGCCCCATCTCCCCCTGATTCTTTCCCCACAAAGCCCCCCCTTTCTTCCCCCCCAGCTCTCCCCCCTACTTCCCCCACAAACCCCCCCGCTTCTTCCGCCCCACCCCATCCGTCCGGCCCTCGGCGCCTGATCCGTTCCGCCACGGCACCCCCCCTTGAGGTGCAGAGGAATTCTTTGCGCAGTGGCAGCAGCAGCGGCAGTGGCAGCGGCAGCGGCAGCGGCAGCAGGAGCACAGGTCCCTTCCCCCCTACTGCTGGCACCAGAAACAGCAGCAGCAGTAGCAGCAGCCAGGTTGGTATGATGAAAACCCTGCAGCAACCCCGAAACCCTGTGCCAGCGCCACAGCCAGGGGAACGCAGTGGTAGGGTGCCCCTGCCACGCCCTCTGCCCCTGGTACTTCCCCTGGCAACCTCTACTACCCTCCAACCTGAGCCACCCTCAGAGCCTCGAAGTGCCACCCCATCTCCCCGGAGAGGCAAGCACCTGCACTTAGTGATGCCGCAGGCTCGCAGCGACCACCCCTCGGTTTGTGGGGCCAGCCTCCTCCGCTCCTCCTCTCTCCCGCACCTCCCCACTCCGCCTCGGTCCCCTGCCTCTCCTTCCGCCTCCACTTCCTCTTTCCCCCTCAACGCCGCTCCTGGTTATTGCGATGCCAGCGATGGTAACAGCAACAGCAAGGGCAACAGCAAGGGCAACAGCAAGGGCAATGCCGATCAAAATGTCAATGATCATGTGAATTCTGAGTCGATTCAGGAGTCGCCTTGGAAGGGTGATGGGGATGGTAGTAGCGGCGAGGATGTGGCAGCGGTTTTGGCACGGCCAGCACAGCGAAAAGCTGCAAATAGGCACGTTCCTGCCCACCAGCTAGTACCATCTGCGCACCACTCTGCACCGTCGGCGGAAGCTCAGCTTGTGGCGGAAATTACCCGCAGACTGGACAGCTGGGGGGAGAAAATCGGGGGGAGCGGTGGGAAGAAGATGAGAGGGAGCGCAGGGGAGAAAATTGGAGGGAGCGAGGGGGAGAAGATTGGGGAAAGGGGGGGGAGAAGATCAGGGGAAGGGGGGGGAGAAGATTGGGGGAAGCGGGGGGGAGAAGTTTGGGGAACGTGGGGGGGAAAAGATTGGGGAACGTTGGGGGGAAAAGATTGGGGAATGTGGGGTGGAGAAATTTGGGGGGAGAGGAGGACCAGCAGCTTCCCCAGCTGGTGCTTCTGTTCATGTCCCCGTCCCCATAAAGAAGCTCTCGTTACAGGTACAAAAGCGGCTGGCGCACCTGCAGGTGTCTTTCGACGGCTCCTCTTCTGACGCTGACTCTGATCAAGAGGGTGCTTATGCTGCAGGGATTGATGGCGAAAATGCGTACAGTGAGCGGGGAGTAGGGCGTGACCGTGCATGGGAGATAGACCCACTAGCTGTGGCGGCAGCATTAAAAGGGAAATTGAAGACTGTGGCTGACCAAGATGCTCCAGTGTCCTCATCACCAATCTCACCGCCACTCTCCTCCCCTCACTACCCTCACCCCACCGCACCTCACTTGGCCTCTCTTGAACCTACTACCCTCGCCCCGCCATCCTCCCCCCGTGCCCCAGTCTCTTCCCCTTCTGCCTCTCCTTCCCGCCAGCGCAAGCCCGTGCCCAAGATATTCTCCCTTTCCCGCCGCTCTCCCCGCATTACGGCGGGTTTTGAGTCGTCTCAACTCTTCCCCCTCCCGTCTACTCATGAGACGATTTTTGAGGAACCTCAAGATGATCCCCCCAGCTCTCCCCACAAAACCAATCCCCACGAAACCGTTCCCCGTACACAATCCAAGTCATTTGCTGCCGTACCCCCATCCCATGACACACCAAGCTCCAGTGTCTCCTCCCGTCCGCCTCCCGTTTCTCCTTCCTCCCTCGACCATTCCCCCACCTTCCCCTGCCCCGTCCTCTCCACCCACTCCCCCTCCGCCCATTCCCCCGATCTCCCCCCCCTGTTGCCCTCCAAGCCCCCCCGCTCCCCCGCTTGCTCCCCCACGCTTTCCCCTTCCACATCTTCCAAATTCTCTCCCCGTGCTTCCCCTGTCTGCCCACCCACCACCATTCCTACCCACTCTTCCTATCAGAAACCCCCCCTTTCCCCACACCATTCCCACAGCCGCTCTGTTTCTCTCGACTTGAGCCAACCCCGAACTACAAGTGTGCCTCGAACCCCATCCTTGTCCAAAGGGGGAGTCAACTACTATGCCCGCCCCTCCCCATTTTCCCGTGACTCTGTCCCCTTCAATGCAGCGCTTTCTGGGGCGCCTCGAGCGCTTAGAAAGTCTGTCTCAGAATCCCCTCATTCCTCGCTTAACGAATATGAGGCGCTCAAGAAATCAGTCTCAACCCCGGCTCTTAACTCACCAAAAAACCCATCCTTGCCCAAAGGAGTCTCTTACTATGCACGCCCCTCCCCGCCTTGCCATGTGTGTTACCCCTCTCATGGCCTGGGGATGGTCCAGTGGACCCCACAGTGCAACCATATGCCTCCACATAGAGGTTCTCATGAGAATCCGCAGGTGAATCCTCAGGCGAATCGCCAGGAGAGTTCTCAGGTGGATTCTCAAAAGCAGCACCTCATGGACCAGGCTTGGCAGCAGCTGAGTCAGCAGGAAGGTCAGCAGCAGGCTCAGAACCAGGCTCGGCAGCAGGTTAGGCAGCACGTTCGGGGACAGGTTCGGAGGAGCGCTTCTGGTGTGCCTGATGTCAGCAATCATCTCTCCAACGATTATTCTCATCACCTCCGACCTTTCCTCCCCCCAAGTCCAGGCTCAAGGAAGGCACTGGTAGCTGTAGCGGGGGGGAAGCACACTCCCCTAGGTCAATCCGGGCAGGGGGCCGAGCAAATTTCGCAAAGTTCACGGCGCTTCATGAGATCTCAGAGTGCAGACCTCGAAGGGACTGAGGGCGGGGATAGCAGACGGCACAGCCTGGATGCACTTGGAGGGGGGAAGAGAGGCCATAGCAGGGCTCCAAGCATTGGTGCTGGGACGGCCCAAGAGCTAAGATCCCTGGGAGTGAACGTGGAGGAAGGCAGTCCCTGGGGACCTCATTTACTGAGAAGTCCTAGGAAGTCGTGCTTATCGGTCGGGACAGGAGCGGGTGAAAATAAACTAAAGAAGCAGGTGCCTTTCGATCGTATGGTGCGCGTTCGTCGTTTCGCATCATTCGAGGACCTGGCTGGGCCAGGGTCTGCACCTGAGGGTTGACTTTGGAAAGGAGATTGCCGATTTTCATTAGAGGCTTGTCATGAAGTGATCTGGCCACATACTAGGAACCACGCTGCCTTCAAAAGTTTTAGACATGCGATGAGTGTTTGGTTTCGTAGGTTGGATTGGTTTAGCTATGTGCCAAGTGGATGCATCTATGATGTAATGACTATGTTGCATACTCTTTCTTGTGAGGTCTTGTGTGATTTATCTATTCTGTTGAGTGCTAAAGAGTAGTGCATTCAATATGACAGCCCATTGAAATATTGATGAAGAGAATTTCACATACAGACTTTGAGTTGTAGATAATGGCTGAAGTGATTGGGGAGTGCCAATCACCTTGTAGTTATAGCATGCTTGTCAACTTATACATATACTTTGTATGTAGAAGTTATAGGCTAGACAGGTTTGTATTCTTAGAGGGTACAACACCAACCCTATATGTCATCTGTATCTCCTTGTTGTACTTACTTTTGCTACTCTGAGATGGTATCACGCTAGGTAGGTCCCACCCACCCGCGCTTCCGCCCTAGCCTACCATAGAGCGCCCCGCCCTAGCCTACCATAGAGCTCCCCTACCCTAGCCCATCGCGCCTGCCCTTGCCCGCCGCACCGCGCTGGCCTTTGCTCGCCGCGCTGGCCCTAGCCCGCCGCGCCGGCCCTAGTTTGCCGCGCTGGTCCCTAGCCTGCCGCGCTGGCCAGCCTCGACGCGTCGGCCCCGTCTTGCCACGCTGGCCCCTAGCTGCCGCGACGGCCCCAGCTCGCCTCCGGCCTTAGCCCGCCGCTAGCCTCGGCTCGCCGCCTGCCCCAGCTCGTTGCGATGGCCCCAGCTCGTCGCGCAGCCCCCAGCTCGTCGCGCAGCCCCCAGCTCGCCGCTGGCATTAGTTCGCCGCCGGCCCCAGCTCGCTGCTGGCCTTCGCTCGCTGCAGGCCCCAGCTCGCCGCCTGCCCCCAGCTCACAGCCGGCATTCAGCCTGCCGCCTGACCCAGCAGTACGCGCGGCTCCAGCTCGCCACCGGCCCCAACTAGCCGCGCGCCCCCAGCTCGCCACCAGCCCCAGACCATCACTGGCCTTGGCTCGCCACGCCACCCTAGCTCGCCGCCGGCCCCAGCTTGCCGCGCCGCCCCAGCTCGCCGCGCCTCTCCAGCTCCTCTCACCGGCCCCTACAAGCCGCTGGCCATAATTCCCTTCGGCGCCGGTGCTCCTACTGGCTCTCTCCTCTTTCGCGGCATTACCGCATCCCACCGCCCTCCACCGCCCTCCAACGCCCTCCACCGCACTCCACCACACTCGCTTGCTCCCTGCTCCTCCGCTTGAGCTCCTCCACCACCGCACTCCTCTGCCTGAGCTCTCCAGATGCTGCTGCTGTGTGTGATGGCGGACGCTGTTCTCCTCTTGGACGCGGAGGGTCGGGCTGACGACTTTGAGGCATGGCTCGCCGACCTGCGCCGCCAGCTGAAGGGTCAGCGCCCGGATGTCCAGTCCCTGGTCGTCCACGTCGACGCTAGCTGAGCTCGCCCGCTCTGTCTGGGAGTCGCGTGATGCTGTTGCGCAGCTTGATATCAGTCACGCTTTCAGGCCGTAGAGACTGCGAAGGAGTACCAACATGCAGTCATTGCTCGCTATTCCACTCCCTCCTTTTCCTCTGTTGGCCGTCTTCTCCTGCCCCCGCTCTTCTCTAATCTCGCGTCCGTCCCCACTGTTGCTGATCTTGCCACTCACTTGCACGCCCTTGAGACTTTCTACCGCGCTGCTAGCACTGAGACCCAGCTCACTCTAATGCCTCCCCCCCTTGGAGCTACGCTATATTTCCAGCCGCGCGCCTCCTCGACCACCTAGCCACTGCCCGCGACAACTTCCTTAGTTTCCAGCCCACTGACCTCACCCTTAGCGACTTCGTCGCCATCCTGTCGGCGATAGAGACCCGCCAGCGCATTATCGCCCAGTCTAGCGAGACTGCGGCGGTCCCTATCTTCCGATGCTGTGCTCCTTCCCAATGCACTTACTCTGACATTTCCGCTGCTGTCGCTGAGACAGTCCTTGCCGTTGAGACCACCGCGGCGGCCCCAGTACAGTCGCG